TCTCACTGAAAAAGTTGCAAGGAATTTCAAATGACATTCCTCATTTTAAAGATAGCCTAATCTTATGAGAGCACTGATCCAATCAGTCCATAAGAAGAATTTATTTATATAAAGAAATCACTGAAATGCTCAAGAGAACAACGTTATTTTAATAAGTTCAAGCTGATTGTGAATTTGCATCTTGGAGCACTCTGTGGCTTTGCATTGTCATCCTATCGCTGGATCGCTCTTACACACTTAATTTCATATGCTTTGTCTTCTCTGTAAAGAAAGAGAGAGCCTGCCTAAAAGATTAGATCACAACAAAAGAAAGAGAAAGTCTTTTTTGTATTGGCATATCATGTGTCGAAATATGATGCTCATTTATTCAGCCTTCCTTTCTCTGGCTTAGATCCAGTTTCCATAAATAGGAAGTGTTCCCATTACCAAGGTTCGTTGGTGTGGTGCATGTATTTTCTTGAGTCTGAGGCAGATTTGGTGGGTATTGGTGGATTTTAACCCTCCTGCTGTCTTGCAGAAGTCCAAAAGGCAACCCCCTAAAATGACTTAGTGGGAAAAAGTGAAAGTTGCTTTATCTTGACCCTGAGAACTCACAGATATAGCCTATAGGCCCTTTATCTGAAGAACTATCTCTTCCTCAGATAGTCCTCATGCTAGCATGCATTTACACCCCTTATTTACTGCACACTTAGATCCAGTTCTTATATTTCTTGGCCCCAAGTAACCACTTTAGGTCAAAAGGGAATCCTAGCTCCTGGTAGCTGGCATTACTTTGGCCAGTGTAACTTACCCCCATTCCAAACTCTGTTCAGGAGTTGCTGGTAAGGGCTATGGGTCTGATTTGGGAGGACTGTGCCCTAGATCACACGATTCAGCTGAGCAGGGTTTGACATAGGTGTAAGTCTCTGCTTTCCCCATCCCTCCCCCTGCCAAAATGTGGGGAGTTATGTTGCTTTATGTTCTGCTGGCTTAAGTTCCACTGGCTGAGCCTCCGCTGAGCTGGCAGAGCCGTGGCTGAGGCAGAGTGCAGAGCTCGATCTACACTGATCTGTAAAACACTTTTAGAAAAGTAATATAACGCTCAGTGCTATTTTCCATTGATGACAGATTGCTGCTCTACAGTGAGTGCCTTCTGGTGTCACATTTTTATAACATGTTTTAAACATTTTAACTGACCAGTGTAGATTAGTCGCAGGACTTATGTCAGCTTTGCCAAGGCTGTGCCCTGGCTGAGCTGGCAAACCCCAAAATCTACTGAATGCAAACTCTGTCATCCTGGCAGATCTTAGTTTGGGCTAATCTGCACTTCTGCTTGTCCCGTGCCTAGAAAGCATGGTCCAAGTAGTTTCCCCATAGCTCCACTCCTTTCCCAGGGAAAACCTACTCTTTAGTGCTGAATTGGAGCAAATGTCAATCTGGAGAAAACTTGAATTTCTGTTTGCTCCAGTTGAGCACTGGAGAGTGGTTTTTCTCAGGGGAAAGCAGTGAGAGGAAGTGTGGATAAGCCCCCACTCTCAACTTCCTATAAAAAGCCTGAATATAAAAATCATAAGCTAGGGAAGATCCAAAGTGAATATTTTCCTGGGGAGCAACAAACAATTATTCTCATTTGCATAAAGCAATTACATGTTTGCATCAAAACTGGAAACTTCATTCTGCACAGTCAGTCTACATTTTACTTATATTCTTACTATTTTCACAGTATCAGCTTGAGTCGCTGATACATGGAAGGGACAGCATCAACTGACTGGCAAGGCTCTTGCCAGCAGGAACTTCACTGATAAGCTTCTTAAAGCAGTGAACCTTGGGAAGCAGGAAATAGTGGAGCCACTTCAAGGAAGCTTCCCTTCAGATTGCTGCGCTCAAGCCTTAACCTCAGCCAACTAATTAGAAGTTGTTGAAAGGAAGCGTCTCTGGTGTTTTCTTTCTTTCTTTCTTTCTTTCTTTCTTTCTTTCTTTCTTTCTTTCTTTCAATAGACAAGACTCAGGAAGCATGTTGCTTGGACAGGAGTAAACAGACAGAGAGGTGTGTATGAAAGCTGATGTGTTCTGTTGTCTTAAACAAAGATGTGACCTATGCTCTGGGCTTTTTATGTAGCTGGATGGCTGGTGGCACAGGTGTAATGGACACTGATGGTCAGCTGATGTGGCCGGGGCCAGGAATGCAGGTTACAATTGTGGCCTGTTATACCCATGCCGAAGGAAAATAATTAGATGGCACTTTTCCCTCTTAAGGAAAACATGTGAAATGTGTGAGTGCTTTAAATGCAAAGGCATATGCCTAGTTGTTAACTTTGATTGTGTTTCACAGAATCTGCCATAAAATATTTTGCCTTTTTTAAGGAAAATCTCCTGTGTAAAGCCACACAAATCTCATTTTGGACCATGCTCCTTTATGTTCTCTTGGCTGACTGCCTGTTCCTTGGGGCTATTTCACACCATGCTTCTTGAGCTCTATTTGAGTCCCTTCTATGCTGATGATTTTTGTCCCATGGAGCCAATATCTGTAACGTAATTGCCTCAGCAGACTGCTCACACAGGCAGGATTCTTTGCTAATGTACATTTTGAGTTGACACACCCCTGGTGGTCTGTGTCATTTTCCAAGACAGATGTTCCATTACAACCTCATCACTTGTCAGTGGTGTCTGCCCTTCACGGTGGCAGCTGCACAGCTTACATCTACCACTGATGCTACTCGATTCAAAGAGCCTGTCTTTGTCAGGGGCAGTAATGAAGGCATGGCTTCAGAGGCAAGATGACACAAGGAAATGAAGGCATTTCAGATCTCTGTGGGAGGTGACAAGCCAGTCTTCTGGGGTGGTGGGTGGTGTCAGCCTCCACATCTGGAATAGCATCTCCTCTTGACTACATTCAGGGCCAGATTGCCAAGATACCAAGTGGAGGGACCAAGCCAAGGTACCTCTGCCTGACAAGCAGGTAGCTAGATTTTGCTGGAGCTCACAGATGAGTTTACAAAACAATAAAATATTAATTGTTCAATTATTTCCCTTAGCTCTAAGGAACATGCAGAAAAACAATAATGAGTCCTTTTCTCCTCCTTCGCCACCAGTGCCACCTTCATACTTTATAATGTGACTCAAAAGCGAGATACGTTGAATGCAGTGATTGAGTTGAAAAAGCACACAGATATTGTCTGGACAGGCTTATCAGCTAGCTTTCTTTCTTTCCCGTAGCCCTCAGCCCTCTATAATGGGAACAAGCCAGTCACCACTTACATTTCCCAGACTTAACAGCTGTAAGAGGCATGCTCCTGAAAGGCAAGCCATAAGTTCCAAAGTGGTTTTCTTACTTCTGCCAAGGGATAGCCTCAGGCAAAGCCACTGAGGATTTGTGGGATGGGATACTTACTAATGTGCTGTGAGGTGGGTAAGGTACAAGCCCTGATGTGCTGTGAGGTGTGCAGGATACAAGCATGATTAATAACACAATCATCCAATTAATAGTATTTTTTTATTCCCAAAGTGCACATGGCAGAAGCTTCTGCACAGTTGACCCATGGAGAAGGAACACTCAGCAATATTCTGAAAGGTGCTTGGCCAAAGCACTAAAGTTATCCTTGGTGTCTCTTATTCTCTCTCTCTCTCCATCTCTCTCTCGCCCTCTCTTGCCAAGATAAACAGCTATTTGGATATCCAGATACATCTTTATGGGAGACAGTGTCAAAGAATGGTGCCCAGGCCATCTGTGAACTGCTGCAGTTTGGACTCATTGTAGACTGACTCTGCTTTTGTAGATCCCATGTGTGACTTCTGCTTCACCTGGAACTTCAGGAGAAAGCATTAATTTTATTTTGTAAATTCTTGGCTCTGAGGTTTCAGGGGAAGGCAGTTGCCTTGGTCTGTTTTCAGGAACCATGAAGTTTGTCTGAGGTCTGAAAAGTTAGAAAATTTCACTGACCAGGGATATCCCCCAAGGGTCCCTCCAGACATCCAATTTATTCTGCATTTATGATGATTTGTGCTCATGATGCTATTGGGGCAGTCAGATGCAATCACTACCCTTAATGCTATTTGTACCTTCATAGGTTTTGGGCAAACACACAGCTTTATTTCCAGTCACTGCATATCCCATAACTTCCTGCTGAAATTCCATAACTTTGTGGAATAAAAAGTTCAGAATTATTTTTGTTCCACTTTTCTTGCACTTGGGGCTCGTCCACACTTCTGCTTGCTCCATGTCTAGAAAGCACAGGGCTGGGCAGTTTTGTCTTCCCCCTACCACTTCCCCCTGGAAAACCTGGTATTCAGTGCTAAATTGGAGTAAATGTCAACCTGCAGAAAACCCAATTGATGTTTGCTCTGATTCAGTGGTAAAGATCAGGTTTCCCCAGGGAAGGCAGTGGGGCAAGTGGAAGTGTGGGTGAGCTCTTGGTGGCAAGCAGGGACATTTTTGTTTTGTTTTGTTTAACCTTTAACATTGTGGTTTTGTTGCCCACAGTGGTGCTGTTGGCAGCAGCAGAGATTTTCTGGGAAATCACTGGCTGCCACTGCAATTCTAGCACACTCACCCTTAATGTTCCCTCTAGAGGGATGATATATCATGACTGTGAGGTCTTTAGGAAATATGGTCTATTGAACCTGAACCTACAGGGGAGGGGCTCACAGCATTAACAACCCAGAAGGTCTTGCTTCTCCCAGAGCCACAGCCTTGGATTCCAGCAGAAATCAAGCATGGCTCTCCCTCTCTGGCTTCTGCCTGCTTCTAGCTTCTACCCCAGCTTTCTCTCTCACACCTCTGGCCCTTGTCCTTTTCACTACTAGACAGGTGAGAAAGGGACCCCACCCATATGCCATCTGGCACAAAGCCACTTCCTTTGTTACACTAATGACCCATACTTAGGGGGCCAATACCAACAAGCTGACCTGGCTATTCCAGCAATTGAATCCTTGCAGAATCCAAGAAATAGAAGGGACCCAGGCATATAATCTAACCCCTCACCAAACTCACAACAATATATTATTATTATTATTATTATTATTATTATTATTATTATTATTATTTTCTTGGTGTGTGTGTGTGTGTGTGTGTGTGTGTGTGTGTGTGTACACACAAACACATATGTACACACACACACACAAACCAAGAAAATAATAATAATAATAATAATAATAATAACAACAACAACAACACACATATACAGTCCAGTAGCACCTTAGAGACCCACTAAGTTTGTTCTGGGTATATGCTTTGTTTATGTACTTCATAATAATCATTGCAGCACTTTTACCAACACAGATTATGCAGTCGCCCTTCTTCTTTAAAGCAAAGGGTTAATGGTACACAAAGTGTTTGTGTGTATCTCTCCCCCCCCCCCCCCGCCCCCTACATAGATACAACTCTATCTCCATCTTCTTTTGTAGGCATCCCTGAAAAGAAAAAAAGAACTGATAGTTCAACCCTCCATGGGCCAGTTCACACCTGACATTTTTATACAGTTCCTGCAGCCTCTGGAAATTAATGTTACTCCAGCAATCTTTCCCTCCTGGTATCTATCATCCCCTTCTCTCCTGTTGTGAACTTTATGTCACTCTCTCTGCCTTGGCTTCTTACCTTCCAGTTTCCGAGCCCTTCTTAAGCATTCTCACATGAGCAGACTCAACATGCAGAGAAGGGGCGCTGCGCATGTTTGATCTGGTAACATGCTTTTTGAAAGGCATAGGAGTGTGCAGGGAATCCATTGTACGCACATTCCACTTGTGCACATATAAGTGCTATGTGGGGGGGTGGGGTGGACTTAAGTCACCAGGTAAGAAGCTGGTCACCTTTGACCTTTTATCTAAGATGCGCAGCACGTTAAGACTTGGTTGCTGGCAAGACTCTTCTTTTTTCTTTTTTTTAATTTAAATTTTATTAACATATAAAACACATACGTATACATTTACACAATTACACAATACACGTACATAACACACTACCTTATTTTCATAACATAAACATACCTAATATAGAGTAATAGGTAATTATATAAATAGAGTAATTATATAAATACCTATCTTTACTGTACATATCAACATACCTACACACCTACCCCACATGGACACCCACCAAGTGACTTGACTTCCAGCCATTCTCGTTATGCTACTTAATTTTTCCAACTAGCTTAAACGCATTTCATTACTTTTTAAATTTCTTCTTCTATCCTAACTTTACTCTCCTTTCACTCTAATCATTTTCTGGATTCACTCAATATCTGTTAGAAATTCTACTTTTTCCACATAAATTTTGATGTATTCCTTAAAGATAGCTCACTCTTTATTCACTTTTTGTGCTATATCTCCTCATATCCTCCCTGTTAGTTCGGCAATATGGAAGGATTCCATCATTTTAGATAACCAGCCTGTTTTAGTTGGGACACTGCTGCTTTTCCAATTTTTGGCAATCAATAACCTTGCCGCCATAACTGCATACATAAATATTGGTCTGACCGTTCTTTTTATTTTCTCTGACATGATGCCTAGGAGAAAAGATTCTGTTTTTTTTCTTCAAATGAAAATCTAAACATCTTTTTTCAGTTCGTTATAGATATTTTCCCTGAATCCCACTATCTCTTTGCACTCCCACCACATACGTAGAGGCAAGACTCTTCTCGGCGGCTTATTCTATTGCGTTTTTTGGTGCACCGCATGTGGGCAAAGTAGTGCTGGAGGCAGCACAAAGAGGATTCTCCATGCGTTGGGAGGAGCTTCTCCCGACGGTGCGGGCAAAGGCATGCCTGCAGCGATGGTGATGCAGCTGGGCGAGAATGATTTGCCGGAAGCTCCCAGCTTGAGTTTGCAGACCTGTGTGCAGGAGGACGTGGAAGAGTTGAAGGCAGCTCTTCCTGGACTCAAAGTTTTTTGGTCACAGCTGTTGCAGTGACGTATGGGGCAAGGTAGCCAATGCCCAGCTGCCACCGAGAGGGCCAGGAGGCGCGTCCAGAGCACAGTGGCCAAGAAGGTTCTGGCCTTGGGTGGGACGGTGATCCGTCACCTGGGCATTACCTTCCGTGATGCGTCCTTTACAGGCTTGATGGGGTTCATCTGTCTGTGATTGGGAATGATTTGTGGCTGACAGCAGTGTCAGCGGGGTTAAGGGATTGGTTACAGGTGTGAGTGGTTGGTGGCGAGCGCTGGTGCTCGTGTGGCGGATAGGCTCTTGGTTCAGGTGATAGGGATGGGAGAACACTCTCGCCATCCCTATGTGAAGGGTATTCCGTTAAAGGAATCCAGGGACTCGATGGTTTGGTCAACCCCTGAGAGGGGGTTGTGCCCGTGCCTGAGTCCAGGGGAACATTTGGGTGGCGGAGATAGCCTGTTCCCGGCTTTCTGCTTATCCAGGTGTTCACCCTTGGCTGACCTATGGTGGAATCCTGGGTCAGTGCTACCTGCATGGCAGGGAGCTAGTCGAACCAGAGCCTATGCAACCAATCACTTTCTGTAATCAATAAAGTTGTGGCCTAAATTCTGCCCCAAACCAAAATTTGAGTCAAATGTGTCTTTATTTAGGGGGGAGGTCTCTGGGTCTGAACATGCAAATGGAGGAGAAATGTTAGGCTCTACATTCTGCTCAAGTTGAAGCTGACGTAACATAATATTTAAGAGATTGAGCAATGAATCAGGAAGTCCATTGTTCAAATCTTGCCTCTGACAGTAATTCACTAGGTAGACTTTGAAAAACTGCAGTTTCAGCACAAAGATCTCAGTCTGCAACATGGAAAAAGATAATATTCCCTATTTAAGAGGATTGTTGTAAGGATTGCGACAGAATAAAGCATACCATGATTCTGCCTCAGATACATGAGGAATCCATCTGGATCCCATCTGCAAAGGTTGCCTAAACTCTACCAGGTAGCAATTTGCCCATGACAAAAGAATTCTATCAAACTCTCCCACTCACAAAGAAAGTTTTCTTTTCTTGACTAGCAGAAAGCGCTAAAACTATGGGATGCCCTGTTAGGTGCATAAAACCAGATATGAATTGAGGCACATCCATGTGGCCTCGGCATGGGGGTTGAAATCCCCAGAACCACCCATTTAGCAGTTTCCACCAGCTCTCTGGATATGTCCCCAGCACCGACCTGCTTCAATCATACTTTTAAAAGCTACTTTGATTCTGCATTGTCAGAGCTTTGGCCCAAGTATATTTTTCATGTAACCTGTATTTTCCATGTATTAAAATTAATGGGAAATCACAGTTATGGTTTTAAAAGAGGATTAAAAAGGATTTAAGCATTCATCTTAATGCTGCTATTTTAATGGAATAATATAGAAATGCTGATTAGCCGTCACCATGCTGGGAAAAACTTTCTCTTGCTGCATTTGGGCAAAATTATAAGACTCAAAGAATGACGAGATGCCTTGCCTCTGCTCCACGCCCACCCCCACCCTCCAGTTCTGACAGAAGCTCCCCAGCAGCACCAGCCGTGCTCTACAGCTGGGTGCAAAACTGTCAGTGATGCTTAGAACAAGGACAGCCGGGAACTGGGATGAATATATCTACGGCATTCTGCTCTCATCATGAAAACTGCTTTCTCTGATAATGGCATAATCAAACAGTTATTTATTTCATGATATGGAGGACACTGCCTGGGGGGAATATGAATAATTCGTGGGTGGAGATTGAAAAGATATTTTTATGACTGGGTGCCATGTTGACGGATTAGAAGTAAGCTTCCTGTTTTAAATAATTAGATTAAGAGTGCAGCTGCATGGGCATTTAGAATAAGGAAGCTGTAGACCTCCATCAGTGCTTTTTGACACATCAACATGATGGTGTCCTAAATCTTGACTTTTACAACAGTGTGTTTGAGGATGGGGTGCTAGGGGATGGAACATAGATATGGCTGCAAGTGGAGATGTGTTGGTTATGCAAGATTAAGGTTATGTTACACGAGTTCATGCTGCTTTTAAACATTCAGTAATTAAGGTTTGGAACGAAAGCTGACAAGCCATACAACAACTAGCACTGAGGCTTAGTGGGGGCAGTAAGCCAGCAAAGTGGCTTTGCTGCTACCGCTTTTTAAATTTATTTTATTTACATTAGTTTTATTCCACACATTAACAAATAGTTCTCTGGGCAGTGTGCAGGAGGGAAGACATAAACTACAACATGGACATAAAACCAGCAGCAAGTTTAAAGCAGCATCAGAATAAAACTAAAAGGAAATCAGAAGCAGAGAGTGTATAATGCCAAAGTTCTACTAACCATGACAAAAAACACATTTTTTAATTTAAAACTGTGTGGAAACCCTGTGGAAATAAAAAGGTCTTCATGTGGCAAGAAATGGACCACAGCATAGTTGCCAGGCAACTCTCTCGTTGGCATACCCGCCATCATTTCTCAGATGAAAAGAGGGACTTTCTATTCTACACAGTCCTTCATCCAAATGCGGACTACTGGTTCTCAGTCAAAAAGAAGTTTTTATACAAAAAGACTTGGATACAGGAGGGTAGATTTCTCCTTTAGCCAATCAAGGCCTAGGGCCTTTCCCCCCAGGACCAAAAATGTACATGCAGCTAATAAGTGGATTTCTGCACAGCTACTCTGACCGTGACACAATCTTGCATCAGACACTCCACACAGGTGGTAAATTGGACTGATTAAATGCAACCTTTAAATGCAATCTTTTTTCCTTCAGGAAGACAGCACCCAAAATCCTAAAAAAAAAGCCATTGAAATGAAACAAAGAAATGGGGACTTCATTGTAAATTTAAGTATCATGAGGGACAAAATGGTTATCACAATTCCTATGTGTTTGCATGACAGATTCCACATTGCTATTCTCTATGTACAAACCCAGAGGTAGGAGCCAAACCAGCATAAAATTGTGCCACTGCCTCCCTCACCCATCACAAAGTCAGTTCAGGAGGATTCCATGATCAACGGCGTCAAAAACTGCAGAAAGGTCCTGCTCCTGACAAAGATAATAAATGATGACCAGTAAGGCAGTTTGGATGCCCTGACCAGGCCCGAAGCCAGACTGAAATGGCTTGATGCAATATTTGTATGGAATCTAGGAGGCAGGTGGCCTTTGTTGCTTATAAAGGGAAGGAATTTTATTTCAAGTTGTTTAAAATTTTCTGGCTCTCCTACCTACTAAAACTCACTGAAATCAGGATCCCAT